ACCCTGGGGCCAACCTTGAGGTGGTGGCTCCCTGCCGTGCTTCCACTGACCTTGGCTCCATGCACCTCTGCGTCCACTGGCCTGTGATCTTCATTCCGTTTATCTTCACGATTCTGCATCACCAACTTTTTATTTACACGTGTTTGAAGAGGGCTCTGACTAACTAATTGTGCCCATGGACTTGAGTTGGACTGGGCTGGGATGACTTCTTGATATAAGAAGTGTGTGAGACTTTCTTTCTCACACATATATACTGGTTTTTGTTTTTTCTCTAGATAGCCCAGCCTAAAACAATTACCAATAATGTTGTGACTCATAATTTAATATTAGATTTAGCATATTGAAGGTATATCAAAATCATAGAAATGTTCATTAAATCAAAATGCCAAAATGTGAATCTATTGATTATTGACATACCTCCATACATATCTATACATATCTGAAGTTGGTGGTTCCATATCTCTAATCCATCCCAACTGAAAACTACATTCTAGTCTTACAGAATTTCAAAACACCAAAGTTAGTCTCCTTGAAGGAGTTAAATCATGTTTCTTTTCAATGTTTTTTGAGCTTGGGGAACAAAAGATTTGATGAGCTGAATCAGGGCTGGGGGGGAAGGAGGTTAATTTCCCTGCGAAGTTCTTATAGGACACACCTTGGTATCTTCGAAAAACAAGCTAGAGCGTTGTCTTCATGGGAAAAAATACCTTGACTTTATTTCCTGAACTTTCGCTTACCATTGCAGTTTTCAGTTTTCTTGAAATGTCTTCATAATAAGCACCTGTGATCATACTATGTCCTTCAAGAGACTCTCCCCTGGTCACCTCTATGGAATCCACTCAGAATTGTCGGCATAAGCTTCTGAGCTGATCTCTTAGCCTTCATTCAATAGCTCTGTGGTTCCTGTTGGAAGTCAATGTTTTGATTGAAGGCACTCTAAGGACACAAAGAAATATCATATTATTTAGAGAACTTGTCAATAATCAATCATTGGTCATAGATAAATATTTAAAGATGTTATATTTGGAATAAACTCAGGCATATATAAACTTGAACAATTTGTCTTACTCTTGTATTTCTAGCACACACTTTTTGATATAATTGACCAAGATATATATTTTTTAACATTTTATTAGGGGCTCATACAACTGTTAACGCAATCCATACACACATCAATTGTGTAAAGCGCATTTGTACATCATTCTCAAAACA